CCTTTCGCATTTTATCAGTTGTCTTCTCTTATCTGCCGCATAGATTTTCGCATAATTTTTTTGCATTTTATCTTTTATCTTCCCCTGTTTGTCGCATAGCTTTTTGCATCAATTATCTTCGTCTGTCTGCTACATATTTTATCGCACTTTATCAATTATGTTCGAATGTTTGTCGCATGGTTTATTGCATAAATATTTCACACTTTTTCCATTACTTTTGCATGTTTGTCGCATAGCTTTTCACATAAAGTTTCGCACTTTATCAATTATGTTCGTCTATTTGTTGCATAGGTTATCGCATAACTAATCGTATTCTATCAATTATGTTTGGTGTGTCGCATTGTTTTTCTCATAATCTTTTTGAACTTTATCAATTATGTTCGCCTGTTTGTCGCATAGTTTATCGAATAATCGTTTCGCAGTTTATCAATTATCTTCTTATGTATGTCACATGGTGTATCACATAATTATTTTCCACTTTATCAATTATCAATGCATGCTTGTCGCATAGAATATCATACAATTTGTTTCGCATTTTATGGGTTGAAAAAATTAACTTTTTATTCGGCGATGTGTAAATTTTTTTCTTTCCTCAGATCGAGGTGAAATATTTATTTCTTTTCTTAAAAAGTTGGTTGAGTTAGGTTTGAGTGTGATTTAAATTTGTATGAAAATAATATTTGAAATAAAATAATTAAAGTTGATTTGATGTAAAAGTAGAAAATATGTGATTGAAGTGATATGCAGTTAAAATTATATGCGTGGATGAATAGTAAATTAAAGTTGATGTGATGTGTAATGATGATATATTGATGTTATTTAATTATATTAATAATATTAAAGATAGTGGGGGTTTAATTAAAACTAGTACAACGCCCGTCAATTATACGGGATTTTGAAGAAAAAATTAATTGTACCACAAAATATTAAAAGAAATAAAATTCTTATTGTGAAAGAAAAATTTTAAGTAACTAATGATAAAGTAAAAGAATTTGTAATATTATTTAAATTCTCGAAAATACTCTGTATAAAATATTATATATTTATTTAAGATATATTCATTGTTTTAAAATTAATTACAATAATCAATTTATTATGCATTTAATATAATGCCCGTGAACAACATGGATGCATTAAAATAAAAATAAAATATTTTTATCAAAAGAAATAAGTAAATAAATTTACATTCTTATAATATAATGATAAAAAATTGAGTATAAAATTAAAAATTAAAAAATTAACAAAGTTAATTATTTAAAATAATACATATATGTTACACTCAATTTGTTACAATTATATTTTTTCAATACTACACACACACAACCACATAAATATATATAGGGTTGGGTTCACATGAGAATGGTGCTCAATAAAAGAAATAAGAATAAATGGTAGCCATTAGATCGAATGATCTAATGATTAAAAAAAAAGCCAAAATTATACCATAATTAAGGGTATTATGGTCATTTATTCACACACCAATTATTTACCACATTAATGGGCCCCATCCCAAATTAATTCAATTCCATTTCCCACGCCAGTTTGTCACCCACCCCATTACCCACCTCTCTCTCTCTCTCTCTCTCACACACACACACATTACATACAGAGCACCCGACACACACACTTGCCGACAAACACACACTCTCCCCGGCGGAACACACACACACGCCGGCGGAATCTTCAACCATCCATAGTCGCCGTCGCCGTCGTCAATACTCCGTCCCTGTCACGCCTCCGTCGTCGCCGCGCCACAACAGCTGCCGAACCTCCGAACCTCCTCAGCAAAATTTCCGTTGCCATCCGTCACCGCAGCACAGCACACGCAGAAGGGACCGCCCGTACCTGTGCTTGTCACCTCCGGCCGTGAGAACAGATTCCGACCTCGGTTCGCCGCTTGCAATCAATTATGTCCAAGAATACCGACACTCGCCGCCGTATCGGTTCATCTGTCGTCTCAGTTCCTTCGTCGTCCGCCTCGATTCGTCTCCGGCAAGCTTCCATTCGCGGCCAACCTCGACGCAACAGACACCCATCTGTTGCCGCCGCCTAACTCCGGCGACTTTCGAATGGCCAATTCTACCTTCCACTAACCAGAACAAGAAGCTCTTGGCGCAATTGGAGCAGACGGTCGGCGGGGCTATATCCGGTTGCATCCAATTGGCCGGAGAACGGGATGACAAACCAATTGTACGTTTAATAGCAGCTTACTGCAAACCTAAATGCAATTGGGCATTTTTTTCTTAAATTAGAAAAGGTTGAAGGGCCTAACCCACAAGGCAAATATGTAATTATTAAAAGTTGATAAAAATATCATTTTTTTATTTATTTTATACACATATATTGCACAATAAATAAAATATTAAAAAAATAATTTAAGATATTAAAATAATAAATGTTAATAATGTAATAATAAAATAAAATAATAAATAAAATATTGAATAAATAAATAGATAATAATGTATTTCAATCAATTGGTTAATTAAATGTACAATAATATCTACAAAAACTACTTTTTGAATAGCCGTAATTTATATGGGATCATATAATGTAGTGTAATTTATATAACAACACACCGCACTTTATACAATAAGACGGTGCACTTTATAAAATAACATATTGCACCTTATAAAACTACAAGCTATATTTATCACGATACTCTACAATTAGCAACAATATATTCGTCAGAATACCACACAACATAAATCTAAAAAATGAAGATACATAATATTTTAACATCCATCAGATCATCTATACATAATTTCAGTTTTGCATTTTATATATCAATACGTTGCACTTTATATAACAATACGATGCACTTTATAACACAACATGTTGCACCGTATAAAACAACACGATGCACGTACTAAAAATTCAGTAATTTTGCTAATCGAATAATATTAGTTGATTAAATGTCGAAATTAGTCTTTTTAAATAACTAAAATAACTGAACATTCCGAATTACATGTGATGTAGCACCAAAAATAACTCGGTGAACCGGCCGAGCGATTAGCTCGGATAGGGCCGGTCCAAGGAAGCTTAGAGCCCATTTATGCAATATATGTATGGGTTAAAAATATCCATGAAGAACTAGAAAATATTACTAAAAGATATTAAGTAAGTTTGTATATATCTACAGTGGTTTGAGAGAATAAGACTCCTTGGTGATTAAGGAACCCCTTTTCTTGGGAAATAAGTCATTAAATCCTTATAAATAAGGATTTCAGGTTCATTTTCTACATCTAAGCTCTTAAGTTCACTTAAGATACACGGTTAGAATATCTGTTTTCTGACTTGAGCGTCGGAGTGTTTACGCCGGGCCCTGCCCCGGCGCTTTGCAGGTCGATCCGGTTCTTGAAGATGAAGGTGATCGAGACGCCCGAACTCTCACGCAATCGAGATGAGGCGGTTCGACCGGCAACCTCGGTGAGTCGATTAATTTGGTTCATCAAATTGGCGCCGTCTGTGGGGACGCCCGAGTTCTACACAAGAAGGTAAATCGGCATCCCATATTTTGTTAACTCATCGAGGAAAAAAAGAGACGAAGCAGAAATTTTGTTCAAAATCCCGCAATACACGTTTTGTATTATGCAATCAGTGCAACACCTACTCTCAAATTTAACCAAAAATTCTACAAAAAAATTGTATCCCTGTGCGATATACCACATGCATGCTTGTGAAGCAACCGAGAATTAATTACCTAAGCACAAAAAGNAAAAAAAAAAAAAAAGGATTCCCGTTGCGCGTGGCATCAGCGGAGAAGAAGGTGAACAATTGTGCGCTGCTGCCAAATTTCGGGCACAGCAGAGTCGCCCACAGCCGACCCACTACACCAGCCTCCTACCACCGTGTCATGAAGAGCAAGGTCACTGCCAAGAGTCATCGCCGCTGCCGACTTCGAGAACGGCAGAACCGCCTGCAGGTGCCGCTGTTGGAGCCTCCCGCCACAGTGAGATGAAAAGAAGAGTCGAGAAAAACTAATCGTTGTACTACCATGAGGTCCGATCGCCACGCTGTCCTCAAATCATCGTTCGCTGAAAGCAGGTCCCTTTGGTGGGTGTCGCTCACAATTGAAGTCCGCCGCTGCAAGGGTTTGGAAAAGGATGATGACACCCTCGTAATTTTCTAATTTGGGCCAAAATTGGCAGCTGAGCCTATTTGGGCCTACTTCGGATTAGCTGAGTCTATTTGGGCCTACGGTGTTAATTGGCCCAATTGAGAAGAGAACTTCAACCATGATCATCCGCAAGGCTGTGGGTACCCAACCGGCTAGCAGAACTAGAATGAAATAGAAATTAAATCTTGATAAGTGTCCGATCATGGCTCTCTCACAATTCTGATTCGGGCCAGACTGCATAAAATGGGCCTTAACTTCTTGTTATGTGGGTTGTTGAAGTCACCCCAAATCAATGGATGGAGGATTTACTCAAGACCAGCGGCACAACCAACCACTAATACAGACGAGCAGTGTCGCTCGTCGGATTCTATAACCTACCAGGTCTTTGAAAAAGATGAGCAGCTTCAGGTTTTTAAAGAGAAAGAAAAAGAACAAAATGAGTTGGTTGGCTGGGGGTTTTGAGAGAAGGCAACTGTAATTTCAGATTTCAGGAGAGGAGGCCCGGGACGACCCGATGTGTTATTTCGAATTCTGAGGTTTTGAAACGAGAGGTCGGGAAGATCCGACAGCTCACGGCATGCTCCATAGATTTTCATAGAGAGGACAGAGAGACCCGACTAGGTGTTTTACGCCACATTTATTTTCAAGGGGGGGTCGAGACGACCTGATGAGGTATCACTTGAGCCCGATCATTTACGTAAAGGGGTCGAAATAGCCCGATGAGCTATTCTAAGCTCTGAGGTTTCGCGAGTAGAGGTTGAGATAATTCGAGGAGTCGTTCCGAGCTCTATTATTTTTCGAAGAAAGAATGGAGAGACCTGGCAAGGTGTTTTGCACCACAGTTATTTCAAAAGCATGAACAGAATGATACGGCTATTTACGAATGTATCAAGAGAGTCCGATGATGGCTTTGGCATTTTATAGCAAGAGATCCGGAGAGTCCAATGACGAAATGTGAAGCTTGGTAATTTACGTGAAGCAGTCGGATGACCCGGGGAGATATTACAATGCTCCAATATTCTCTCATGACCAGGCAAGAGGGGGCAAAGGGACCTGGGTCACGAACCCGACGAACTCATCGAGCTCAGGTTATTTAGAATTTTTCCGTTCTGTGTTGTAGTTTAACATCCGAAGGCAATAGTCGATTGGCTGAGGGTTGAACTCATGTAGCTGGGATGACCTCACGCCAAGTCGAAGTCGCGTTAGCACTCACAAATTCGAAAGTTGAGGTCACTTTGGCACTCACTATTTGCCTAGATTGGCTCGAGGAGAAACTCAGCAGCCTGGTGCAAGGGTTGAAGAGGCTCGACTAAAAATATTCACATCACGGATATTTTCTTAAAAGGTCACCAATGGTATTTCACCTCCAGGTACATATGCTAGTCTTTATTCGTTCCTATGATGAAGTTTAGATATCATGACAAGGACAAGTTTTTTTTTTGGGTTATTTCTAATGAAGAAATATCAATTGCCTTCATACCTTTGCAAAATGTTTATGCGATGCTAAGATAAGTGCAGGGTTGGCCTAGAGAGCATGCTGCGGTGATGCCCGAGCAAAGTCCTCGTACTCATAGTCTAGATGCAAGTTGAAGATGTCGCCCGAGCTCGCGGAGCTCGGCGATGGTCGAGATATGGCGAAAGCCTGTTGAAGATGTAGCCCGAGCTCGCGGAGCTCGGCGATGGTCGAGTTAGGGCAAAAGCCTGTTGAAGAAGTCGCTCGAGCTCGCGGAGCTCGACGATGGTCAAGATAGGGCGAAAGCCTGTTGAAGATGTCGCCCGAGCTCGCGGAGCTCGGCAATGGTCGAGTTAGGGCAAAAGCCTGTTGAAGAAGTCGCTCGAGCTCGCGGAGCTCGACGATGGGCGAAAGCCTGTTGAAGATGTCGCCCAAGCTCGCGGAGCTCGGCAATGGTCGAGTTAAGGCAAAAGCATGTTGAAGAAGTCGCTCGAGCTCGCGGAGCTCGACGATGGTCGAGATAGGGCGAAAGCCTGTTGAAGATGGCGCTCGAGCTCGCGGAGCTCGACGATGGTCGAGATAGGGAGAAAACCTGTTGAAGATGTCGCCCGAGCTCGTGGAGCTCGGCGATGGTCGAGATAGGGCGAAAGCCTGTTGAAGATGTCGCCTGAGCTCGCGGAGCTCGGCAATGGTCGAGTTAGGGCAAAAGCCTGTTGAAGATGTCGCTCGAGCTCGCGGAGCTCGACGATGGTCGAGATAGGGCGAAAGCCTGTTGAAGATGTCGCTCGAGCTCGCGGAGCTCGGCGATGGTCGAGATAGGGAGAAAGCCTGTTGAAGATGTCGCCCGAGCTCCCGGAGCTCGGCGATGGTCGAGATAGGGCGAAAGCCTGTTGAAGATGTTGCCCGAGCTCGCGGAGCTCGGCGATGGTCGAGATAGGGTGAAAGCCTGTTGAAGATGCGCCCGAGCTCGCGGAGCTCGGCAATGGTCGAGTTAGGGCGAAAGCCTGTTGAAGAAGTCGCTCGAGCTTGCGGAGCTCGGCGATGGTCGAGATAGGGCAAAAGCCTGTTGAAGATGTCACTCGAGCTCGCAGAGCTCGGCGATGGTCGAGATAGGGCGAAAGCCTGTTGAAGATGTCACCCAAGCTCGCAGGAGCTCGGTGATGATCGAGATAAGGCACAAGCTTGTTGAAGATGTCGCTCGAGCTCGCGAAGCTCGGCGATGGTCGAAATAGGGCGAAAGCCTGTTGAAGCAGTCGTTCGAGCTCGCGGAGCTTGGCGATGACCGAGATAGGGCGAAAGCCTGTTGAAGTCGCCCGAGCTCGCGGAGATCGGCGATGGCCAAGAAAGGGCGAAAACCTGTTGAAGATGGCGCTGGAGTTCGCTGGGTTCGGCGTTGCGCGAAAGCCTGTTGAGTCATCATCACTCAAGCTCGAGAAGCTCGGCAGGTGTCCAATTGAAAAGATTACCTAGCTTATCCTAGCCCGGCATGAAGTTAAACTCGCTGCCGCATTAGGGCAGGATAGTCGTTGTGAGCTTGGCAGTATCGTTGTGATTATATTCTCAGTAGCGGGTCATTGGGCTCGTAGACAAATTTAGGGCGAAAGCCTGTCGTAGTGTTGCCTGAGTTCGTGGAGCTCGATAGCAGGTCCTCGGACTCATAGCCAAATTTATGGCGAAAGCCTATCGTGGAGTGGCCCGAGCTCGTGGAGTTCGGGAGAATAACCCACAGTGGAGGTGCCCGACTCGAACCAGCAAAGATGATGTCGCTTGGAATATATCGTTTGGATCACATGGACCTCCGTTCTAGCGAGTATTCACTCGGTGGACCTGCTGGAGTGGTTAGCTGGGAGGATCCAACGGAGTTTTGGGTCTGTTTTGATACTCGACCTTATTAGAGAGGTTGCATATAAAGGGACCTCACCTCATGGAGGTCATGAATGCGGGAGTCACATTACAACTCTAGCAGATACCGCGAGTGTTAAACATATTAAGGTGGCAGAATATCGAGCAAGTTGCTCGGGGGCCACAAAAGTCGAGAAAAGTGCAAAGTTGGCCCGAGAGCTATAGTTGCACGCAAAAGGCAGCGGAACTTTGACGTGGTAAACCATGGGGCCTAGACGAGCCTAGGATCTTGACGCCATAGTCCTACGAGATAGACTTGGGCGAGAAATGATTGTTCTGCTCTTAGACAAGTCTTATATTCATAAGCTCGTCTAGAGTGGGGGGGCTAGATGATGTAGAACCAAAAATAACTCGGTGAACCGGCCGAGCGGTTAGCTCGGATAGGGCCGGTCCAAGGAAGCTTAGAGCCCATTTATGCGATATATGTATGGGTTAAAAATATCCATGAAGAACTAGGAAATATTCCTAAAAGATATTAAGTAAGTTTGTATGTATCTACATAGTGGTTTGAGAGAATGAGACTCCTTGGTGATTAAGGAAACCCCTTTTCTTGGGAAATAAGTCATTAAATCCTTATAAATAAGGATTTCAGGTTCATTTTATACATCTAAGCTCTTAAGTTCACTTAAGATACACGGTTAGAATATCTGTTTTCTGACTTGAGCGTCGGAGTGTTTACGCCGGGCCCTGCCCCGGCGCTTTGCAGGTCGATCCAGTTCTTGAAGATGAAGGTGATCGTGACGCCCAAACTCTCACGCAATCGAGATGAGGCGGTTCCACCGGCAACCTCGATGAGTCGATTAATTTGGTTCATCAATATGAAAAAAATATTACCAATTTTATTATTATTTATATTTTGTTATGAAAAAATAATACTATTTTTTAGCTATATTTTTGAATGTATCAATATGGGAAAACTATATAAAAAATATTATTTTTTACATTTTTTTAAATATTATTTTTTCACAAAATAAATAAAGATGTTAGATAAGTAATGTGTAATTTTCATAACATAAATGTGCAATTCAATTAACATTAAAGTGCAATCAACATAGCATTGATGTGCAAGTAAAAATAATATTTTTTCAGATTAAAAATAATAGAATATTACATGTTCAAATACTATTTTCAATTATTTGTAGATTTTACCCTTGAACTCAATTGTAATATGCAAAAGTTTATAAAATTGCTATTAAGTCCTACCAAATACAAGTCCAATCTCACAACCACATCACCCCCGTCCACTCCCACGCCGACGAACAAACACCTCCAACAGACAGACGGTCGCCGTCCACGGCTTCACCACCATCCTCCGCCGCCCTCGAATATGCCGCCACCACTGTCTCAGAATTTTGTCCGACCTCTTCACTTTCTGGCGACATCGAACACAGCGGCGCGACGTCGCAGCGGCGGATATAGGCGGCGGACGACATGCCCGTTTGTCCTTGAGAACCACTGTCTCTCGTTTAGATCTGGCCGGAAAGATGAAGCGCGGTGGTCCTGACAACGACGGAGGTGTGGAGCTTGCAGTGGTCGTGAGTGGAAAATGTCCGACTGTGGAAGGTCGTCAGAGAAGAAGAGTCGACTGACAGGGGTTATTTCGTCGGCAGGCGACGGGCGGCGGAGATGGCGTCCTGCAACGGGGCAGGTTGCTGTGGGAGGCGGGAGACGGGGCTAGCGGCTGTGAGCGATGGCGTCGGCGAGGCAGAAGGTGGTGGGAAGCATCAGTTCTCGTCGGGACATTGTGTGTGTGTTGTGTAATGTGTATACGTCTATATGTGTTTGTGTGTGTGTGTGTGTGTGTGGAAGAAGATGAAGGAGGGGGTAAGTGGGGAGGTACGAAATTAATATTTATGTTGATATTAATGTGTAGAGTGGTGGGTCCCACCTGATAGTTGAATTTGAATTAAATGTCTAAACAACCCTTAATTATTGGTCAAATACACATATTTAACCACAATATGGTCAAATAGTTACCAGCTTGCCATTAATGATTGACCATAGTTTGAAATCATCATAACCATTTTTATGTTGGATCTAATGGTCCACAATCATTCTCATTTCTTTCACTATCTATCATTCTCATATGATCCCTTCTCATATATATATATATATAGAGAGAGAGAGAGAGCGAGTTAGGATCCAATGAGAATGATAGATAGTGAAAGAAATAAGAATGATTGTAGACCATTGGATCAATCAATTCAATGTCCATGATCAAGTCAAACATTAATATGCAGTCAACCATATAATGGCTGTTGTGACCATTTTTGTTACATTTTTCTCTACTGTTTTGTCGTTGCTTTTCCCCCGTTTTAGGTCTTTTTGTTAGTTTTCAGTTCATTTTATAGTTCATTGTGTATTTTGTTCTATTTTGGCTTTTTATGTGTTTTTCGTGTATTTTGTCGTTTTTCTACGTTTTTCTTCTTGTTTTCAGTGTGCAGGTCGGGAGCCCCGTAAGGAATCAATTTAGCTCAAAAACGGGTCGGGAAATCATGGTTGGATAGATGAGTTCCTTAGCTACACATAGAAAAAGACGGAATCCAATTTCGAGTTCGGACGAGTCCGGACGGGTCCAAAACGCGAAGTCGCGCGAAACACGTTCAATGTGTAGGTCAAGAGCTTTGGGAGAATATTATTTCAAGAATAATTTGGCCAATCAAGCATCATTGAATAGAGGAGTTCGTTAGCGATGCGTAGGAAAAACGGAACTCAATTCCGAGTTCGGACGAGCCCAAACGAGCCCGAAACGCAAAGTTGCGCAGTCCAGCCCAGCTAGCGGCGCTAGGGGATGCTAGCGGGCTTCTGAAGCTCATTCTTGACCCTAGCGGCGCTAGGGACCCCCCTTAGCGGCGCTAGGGCCTGCTGGAGCCCTCCACTTTGATTTTTCCCACATTTTTCTTCATGTTTTGAGCCACCATGTCCTCCTCCATGTTTTGTGCCAATTCCTACAT